TAACTAAACAAAAAATCCTTCAGCTCACTGATTAAAAATATAAATTTTTTTCTTAAGCTATTGCCTTCACTGACTAAATTAAAACCTTATTAAAAAATCAATTACGCAATATTAATATTATACAGCTTTAGTTTAGCTATATATAATTACATAATAAGAAAAACCAACGTTTTTATACCTATGAAACTAGCCCGTAGTGTACATGAATCACATATATATATATATATATATGCACTCCTATTGCATGCACTCCTTTCACGGCTTGTTTACTCTGCAGTTCTGGCTCTGCAGCAGACTGCATTTGGTGGCAGTGTAACTATAGCAGATGAGCCAAACCAAAACGGACTCGTGTACTGCTGTTTTGGTATTGCAGCTAACTACCACTGCTTTTCAGGTCCTTTGGGCCTGGTGCTTGACCTGAAGACATGCGCCACCAGGTACAAAAATCATCATTGTATTCATCATGGCTCTAAAAAATGGAGGGGTTAGGCTCTAGGATTCGAAGCTGGACGGGACAATTGCTAGTAAGTTATAATTTTACTAGGGGACTTTGTCCCCTGCGCGCTCCACGCGCCAACCCACTAAACTTTTTTGATCATATATATTTCTAATAATTATTTCATCTGAATCAAATGATTAAATTTTAAAAATAAATTCAAGTTCAAACGAATAAAACGACCTCGATTAGCCAGCGCTTGTCTACTCAATTTTATATTTAAATTTAAATGTACCGCCTTTCGTCACTCACGACCAATTAGATCACGACGTATTCTGTCGACGGTCACGTGACACTCATTCTTTTAGCAGAGGAACGGTTTTGTACGTGTAGCTTAAACTGTAATAACAAAATAAGTCTTATAATTGATGGATTTTGTAAATAACGTTTGTAAAATACTAAAAATTACTTGCTGTATAATTCTTTTAGTTAGTTACTTAACTATTTAAATAAACTAAAATAAACCTTTGAAAAAAATGTGAAATGTCAAGAACTTTATATTCCATAAATTTAGGTGAACTCTCACAACTTGAAGATCATTCGTACTGCGTAACTCTTAAGCTACTTAAAAAATTTTATTAATAATATTTATTCGATACTCAAATGAAGGAGTCAGGAAAAAAATTTTAAAAATGGGAAAAAAGAAGTCAGATATAATATAATTGTTGATACAAAGAGATGGGAACATACAGTTAGTGGTAATATTAGTATGAAAAGTTTTTTGTCAAGACTTGTAAATATGCAGTATATTTTTCATAGTTCATGTTTTAAAATCCCGTTGAACCTAAGATATTCTCGATCTGAATCTGCATACCTACAAAATATGTACAGCTAGTGCTTTGATACAGAAATATTTGATATTATGATACATCTTGTGTGAGAGCTCGCGTCTTTTCTCAGTATGGGCTAGTCTTCGCCTTAAGCTAAAGTTCATTATCACTGCAAAACATCTACTCTTATTGATTACGCAAAAGAGATGAATAAACTCATTGATATATACATATATATATATACATATATATATATATATATATGTGTTTTTAATTTCTGGTATAATTTTTTTGTTGCATTACGTATACGGCAGCTGTATCATGGCTCATACTGTCNTTGTTCTTCATATTTCCTTAAAAGCAAACCAGTAATCATTCCCCAGCGTAGAAAATGTATTCCCAAGTATTTTCGAAAAATGCCATAGTCTTCCGAATTCTGTAAAATATACTTCAACATATTATTTTCATACTAACAATTAATTTCATCATTTTTTAAGGCTTTAAAAAATATTAATACAAACCTTATTTTGAAAAAATTACACTTATAACACAATAAAAGGGGGGGTTGGCGCGCGGAGCCCCACTAGTATATATATACACACACAAACAGTGATCTATATTCCTTACCTTTACCTTAATATGATGGCACGTTGGGCAATGACAAGGCTAGGCAATGACCAGATCTCATGTGCAGTAAGTTGTCTTAGGGGTGATTTGCTAGGTAAAGAGTTGTCATCTAATTTTTCAAGTAGTGCGTCCTGGTTTTGATTTTAAAGTAGTGATAAATTATCGTGCTTATATCAGTATTAACGAGGATGCCCAATATATTTAAAGAATATTTACGAAACTTGAGGTGCATCGTAATGCTAGTCAGGGGCAGTACGAACCTGACTGTTGTCCTACGGGCTTCTTAACATCTTCTTATTTACATCGCACATCAAAATACTGAATAAACTGAATTAAGATTAATGTATTCATACAATAATTTATGGACATGTAAGATTAAATCATAATTTGTTTGTCTTACTTTCTGGATTTTGAATAATTACAGATTTCAAACGTGGAGAACCTCGCACCTCAAATAATTAGACAAATTACCAGAGAAATCAGTGAACTTCAATTATATCCAGCTGAAGGAATACAAATTTTGATAAATGAAGAAGACATAACTGATATAAAAGCCATTATTGAAGGACCAGGTCAGTTAAAATTTAAAAAAAGTTATTAATTTCTCAAGTATTTGTGTCTACTACTATGTATTGCACATAATATTAGTAATTAAAAATATTATCATAATTAAGAAAATCATACAAAAATTAGTACACTATTATGAGGATTCCTTTAAAAGATACTGTATTATAAATAATTTGTTATAATATTAAATAAGTCAGACAAGAGTACTAGGTAAATGAACCGTGACTCTTAATGGAAAGGCCCATAGTTGATCAATATCTCGCCATTTCCATCTAGATATTATTGTAAATAATTTAAACATTGATTTAAAATAATCAGTTTCTAATCCATCTACGAAGGAATATGCTGTCGAATAAACACAACGTTTCCTTGTGACACATGATGCAGGCTTCAGACTTCAGTATAGGAAACTATATTGTATAAACTATGTACATAATGACTTGTTTCAAAATGTATGAAAAATGTATTAGTTGTAGTTGAGCTCTCATTATAAGTAAGTGATGAAAGTCTGCTATTTGTTGAACTGTAGTACTGTTATGTGTTTCAGATAAAAACTTTGTGGAAACATTCTGAATAATTTGCAGTCAAAATGTATTTGTTTTGATCGATCGCTTCTTATGAATTGTAAAAGTCTTCGGTTTATTGATTTGTAGTACTGGTATATAAGTTGAATGAAAAATTTGTGGAAACGTCCTGAATAAGTTGTAGTCTAGTTTTTTTTTTTTTTTTTTTCTTACTGGTTATCGCGACAGCCTATTAACCTAGTCGCCGCAACCATCCACTCACCACGTATGTGTAGGGGTGTATTACTGCACTCATTTCTAACCTCTTAATTAATATCATACCTAATCATACCATGGGTACAGTGCAAGTATCTCTGGTGAAACACCTTCTCAGTTAAGCTAACATTCTCTGCACCAATGATGCATTGGGTTCACTCACCACTGTGTAGCCTTTTTACGGAGAAGACTCCGCATTTCAGGACGTCCACTCCTCGTAAGTTAAGCTGGCCCTTACTACTGAAGCATCGGATGAAGGTTAATAAGCATCCTGGAGAAGCCCCATCTTTCAGGGACCACTCCTTGTCGGTAAGGCTGGCACTGCCTGCCGAGCACCTGACGTCGGATCCGCTAATCCATACCTATAGCCCTAACACTGCTTTGCATTCACCTAGGCCTGAAGACCTGTGAGGTAAGAAAAAAATCCTGGAATTACTCTGAAAGAAAATTCTACTGGAAAAACCGCCCCAAAAACAGCCAGGGTTGCATAGGAACTTTTTCCGATGATAAAAGTTTTTGAAAAAATCTGCTCTCATCGGGAATCGAACCCATGACTTCTGAAACAGCGTTGTATAAGTAACAAGCACGCTTATCACTGAGTCAACGCTGTTTTTAAATTGCAGTCTAGTTACGAAATCACTTATAAAAAATAAAGCATCTGTGTCGGTCAAAATTGTTTTTTTTTTTTTTTTTTTTCCTTAAGTAACAGTTAATTTTTTCAGTGTTTTTACGTAACCTTTTGTTTTAATAAATTTTAATTCCCTCACGAAAAAAAATGTAGCTTTATAATTTACTTTGGATTATCTCAAAACTATTCGTTATTTGACTGATGGAACATTGAAAGTTCTTATAAAGTGTCGAAAGAAATACGAATTAGGATTGATGCAGTTATTTAAAATATGGTCGTACAATTTTTCCTCTTTTAAATTTTAGGGCATCGTAACAGTTAAAAGTGCAGTGAGATAACATATATGGTAGAGTATAATTATCCATGTTTTACATGATGCCACACCTATTTTAATAATACTTCATGCACTCATATGTTCTACATCTTGCATACAAAATTATTGGAGAGTAAAAAAGAACAATGAATCTGAAGAAAAAGAATTGAGCACATTTCGTTCTGATTGAATCAGCACGGCATACTTATAATCTTATCCGTACATAAACATGACTGAGACTTGCTCTTCATTCGCTTATTGTTACACATTAGCAAGATTGATATAAAGTATGGTCGAACTCCTTTTTTCTTACTTTCCAGTACATGTGCATGTGAGGTATATAAATGCATGCATAACGTATTATAAAGATACGTGTGTAATCACGCAAGACTAAGGGAGTTTTATTTTACAACCCGTATCATATTACGGATTAATATAAAAAAATACCATAATTATCAATTAATTAATATCAGCTTCAATAAGTTTTCTAAAGAATCTTTGTATTTCCTACCCTCTAACTTTGCTCAGCACACTGTATCGATCATGTTAGTATATGACTTAGATCATGAGCACCCCGTACTGACACCTGTTCAATCACCATCCTTCATTCATTATTTTTCCTAACATTAAGGTGTAGTACACGTAATTTTATAATGTATTGCACGTATACAACGAGTATAGAAATAGATACAATAATCATGTAATACTTCGGTAATTTGAATCTACCCCCTACATTGTATTATAAATCGTTTACAAAAAAAATACTAAACACATTGCTTGATTAATTCTTTTACATCATTTTAATTGATTAATTAGATTAAGTAATGAAAAAAATTGGGGCTTACACCTGATGGGCATCCAACTAGGGCCAGCATAAGTGGTCCTTTGTCCTGATACTTATTCTAGAAAAATGTGCTACCAAACCAGAAATCTATTACTTTATTACCCAAGAATAAGCAGTCTAGAGCTTTGTGACACCAAAAGTCGGACGACAATACATGAGTAGCCTGAAACTTTCATTACTTTTTCAGCTGAGGTTCATAGTACACTATTTTTTTAAAACAAACTTTCTTAAAGTAGTTGTTCTGATCTTGGTACGCATTTTTTTACACATGGCTAGACAGTGAGACCATACGATTTACAAAAAATTTGGAGTAGCATGGTTAATGGCAGTGTACAGTGTTTTCTCTTTGTACAGGTCCCTTCAGATAGATTGACAATTTCCTACAGAATCACTAATATTTGTTATAGCATAAGATTTTAACAAGCTGTAACATTATTTCTCTCGCTTTGGCTCGTGTACTTGTGAGTTTAAGTGCATGTATGAAAAGTGTGTAGGAAATCCAGAACTATTTACATATTCAGTTGAGCTCATTTATATGAGAAACTAGGAAAGAAAACAGACTATTTAATACGGATAGCTGAATTCTGCTAACATGGTAGAAGGTATTCAGATGCTTATTTTCGGTAACTATAGGTCGGCTCTTACTCCCTATCTCGACGAATCTTTTTTTTGCTATGCTCCGATATAACCTCAGTTATCGCTGCCGAGTTAATTCTAGCGTGGTATTCGTTGCGGCAGTTACCGCCTTATTATATCCTGCAGTATCCTGTTTTCGAGAGCCTACTGCTGACCGCCACCGTGGTGTCATTTGGGAGTGTCTCTGGGAAAGCTCATCCAATGATGCTGGTAACATCGTCACTTGGGATAAAAGTGTGTACAGTTAGAGCTCTCTGCCGTACTGACTGCCATGTGTTTGCTACTTGATCAACGCCTGTGTTAGCAATTCTCTTTTGGTAATCGGTTGCTCTCACTTTTTTCACTGCATAAACTACCCTCTTCGTCCTGGGAACAATCGCTGTATTCGACTCTATAACGCTGACATTGAGAGACAAAGGCCTCTATTTTCGGCTCTTTTGAGCAACGGTACCGAGAGATAGAAGCTACAATCACCGGCTCTTTTGAGTAACGACGCAGTGTAAAGAGAGCCGCATGCTCTGAGTTAGCGTAAGATCAACTATTTGGTCTATCTAGTTACTTAAAGTAGGCAGCATTGCTAACGCTGACAACATATACAGTCAAGACAAGTTAGACTTAATTCAAAGTCAACTCCACGATTTGTTTACCAATTTATGTTACTTAAAGTTTTATATCACAAACATTAAAGCTATCATCAAAGAGGCAGTGGTAGAAAAACTCAGTAGTAGAGAATTCATATGTGACTCACAATCAGACAAGGCTGACATTTGCAGCTGGCAAGAAGCATTCGAAAATAATGAGAAAGCATGTCACATCGGGAAATTAAAAAGAACTCAGTTTTCTCGGATCACAGCTACGACTAAAATTGGAAGCAACCAAATCAATCGAGTAAGGGCTTATTTCGAAGCTTAAAACATTTACTTTTAAATGCGGAGTGCGCCTTTATAAAAATTCAATATGGCGACTTCAATATAGCGGTCTAAGACAATGAGAAACTTTGAGTAACAGAAGAAAAAGCTTGTAGAAGTGTCAACATTATAGTGTCTTTTTCCGGCTCAAAGTGTAACTGATAAGTTAGATAGCGAGACAAATAAGTGATTTTTACTGTTTTAAATTTAATTACATTATGTCAAATTTGAGGTTATCAAATCTTTAATTTTCAAAGATTTCGTCTGCCACTTTGGATCAGCCATTTTAAATTTTGCAAATCTGACCTCGGGATTGTCATCTGCTACCCGGAAAACCAGATTATGCCAAATTTAATGCAAATCGTAGAGTTTAAAAAAAATGGGCTACCATATTGGATTGTTGACGGTGATATGGAATCCACCATCTTTTATTTTGCTACGGTATGATTTAGACTTTTTCATACCATCCATCAGTAACACTTTAAGCTAAAAAAAGACACTATAATGTGTAAATTCCTACTTTTACAAGCTTTTTCTTCTGTTAGTTACATATCTCCTTGTCTCAGACCGCCATATTTAATTTTCATAAAAGCGCACTTAGCGTTCAAAAGTAAATGTTTTAAGCTTCAAAGGAAGCCCTTATTTGATTTATTTGGTTGCTTCCAATTTTGGTTGTAGCTCTGATCCAGTTGACCTGGAGCATTTCATATATATATAGGCTTTGCCCCCCAATGCGCGTTGCGTAAACCTCTATTAATGAGTTATAGTTCCTCACTTAGACTTTGAGGTAAAAGGCAAAATATTGTAAGAGAGGAAACTTTTTTTTTTAATTAAAAAACACGAACTGTGTTAGTAATAATAATAATTACAGAAAAAGACATATTAAATACCTTTTAC